TCTCAAATAGTAACAACTTTTCTCGTAAAACAAACCTATCAGACACTAGCATTTTTAAAATAAATCATTATTATGGCTAATTTCTTTTTTATTAATAACGAAGCAATCTTTTTGAAGTGTAAGGTAATAAATATAATCAAGTAATAGAAAAACGATCACTAGCTTCATCAATCTGGACGATAGAGGCTTATAGATGAGAGGGGATGGGGCGTTGACCTCGCATTCCGCTGCACGGACCTGCTCTCTTTACTCGAAAACACGTACTCCTGAAGAAAATGGAATACGCTATAACATTACTAGACAGATAATTTACTGCATAAAATATTTTGTTTCAAAATTATTCTTCATGGTACTTAATTATAATTATAATATTATTAATTATTCTTATCACAAAATTAATTCTAAATATTATATAGTCTCAATCACGCTAGTAATTCGCCATACAAATTTTAACTTAATAACCATTTAAAGTTAAATTATACACTTAAATGCCATAAACTGGTTGTTGAACGAAAATATTACGTTAAGACAAGGTTAGTACTTTCAAAAAGCGCCAAGTTCTATAAGCAACATTAAGCGACCAGATGGTCAGCTTGATTCATACTTGGTTACAAAAAAAGTATGAGAGAAATTGATCGGTTCTATAGATGTTGGAGTGTATACCTTATAATTGTCGAGTTAGATTAAACAATAATATTATTTTTCTATGAAATGTGTAAACTAAAGAGGTCTTACATGGAAATCTTAACTATTTAATCAGACATAATGCTTGCGTAAATAATTGTACGTGACATTTATAAATCTACATCTAAAAATAAAAGGAACAGGCGGCCTGTCTTAGAAACCACTTTAATTTTGTTTTAATACATATCTCTTCACGCCTTATAAAAAATTGTTTCTAAAACCAATATTTGGTGTAAAAAAATATTTTTTAGCATTAAAAATTGTCTAAATAAGTTTTTATCGTGTCACTTATGTCATCAAATTTCAACGGCGAGATTAAATTAATGTAAAAAAAGCCTTAAGTACGCATCGTGATACTAACAACTTCAAGCTATTTTGATTACATAAGTGTACTTATTAGCACTAGCATGATAATAATACGTTTTGAACTACTAAAAGGCTGTAAAATTATATCTACATAACAACAATATACGAATATATTATCCATATAGGCAATAAATTTACAGTTTTAATTTAATACTTTCTTATATTTACGCGAATATTTGATATTTTAAATAAAACTTTAATTTAAGAAAAATTAAGAGAAAATTCCAAAGTTTCCAGGTGCTCGCACGCCTCAAACACTCAAGTCCATATTCGCTTAGCTGTCACAACAGTTGTACTGTTTGTAAAACGAAACGAGGACGTTTTTGAGAACCTGTTTCTCGCACAGGCGAATGCCGGCGCGTTTCCTCAATGAATTTTGTACTTGAACATTTTTTAGTACGAGTTAGTTGACTGACCGCAGGTTTTGTTATCTTAGAGCTCTAAAACCGTATTATTTTCGGTAAGAATATTCATTTTTCTATTTATTATGTATGAGTCACTTTCTTTATTTCTTTGCTATCTTTCCGGCGCTATCTTATAAGTGTCTCTTCCAGCTAAATGCATTAAACAACCGGTAACCGTAATGGAAATATTTTTTGATGTAAGCCATTAGCGCGAGACCACAGTCCTCTCTGTAATTTCGGGCCTCAATTTTTTAATCTCCACGCCGAGCCTTGATGGGATTCTGAGCGACTGTCCATCTCGATCCTTATCTTAAAGTATAATAAGAAGAGACAGACGTTACTTATATTTTATTTAACGTCAAACGTGATCGAATTGCTGTGATAAGGAGTTTGGAAAAGATTTGTTTATTATTAATTATGTATATTCTTACGATTATTATCTTTTTCAAGTTAATCATTTGTGATCATAATGTTCAGAATTTTATATATTTAAAAATTTAAGGGGTTATTTATTTTGGTGGCTTAAAACGTGTACGTCTCACATCGAAGGTTACGAGTAAATTGTTATGTTTGGTTTGTAAGAATTGTAGATTTTATGGCTTGGTCGATTTTCGAGCTAACGTTTTCATAGTAAGTCGGTAATTGCCTTGTTAATGAATACATTGGCGGCTCCTTTGATCTTGGTAAAGTTGTCCGACCAGTGGTTCCAAATCCGTCATCCCACGTACCGTCTTAATCTCGCATAGATTTCTTAATTCATTTCAAAATTAAGATATCACGTTCATTAGATATTTCTAATTTATTGGAAGTCATTTAGAAACTGATATTTATGTCAGGTTTTTATTTAATTGGATCGTTTTTTCTGTGTTCGATTAATGAATGATTAAATATAGGATTTCTACGTTTAAAACGAGTTTTTATGTGAGGTCACTTCTAGATTTAAAATTTGGAATAAATAAAGGTTAAAAAGGTTTATATATATATATATATATATATATATATATATATATATATATATATATATATATATATATTATTCTAAAAATAACAAATTTGAATGACTTTTTGACACAAACTCTATTACACTTATTATAATGAAATTGAGTCTAAGATTTTATTTCTTGATTTATAACTCATCCAATAACAAAAGAGAAATTTAATCTTGCTACTATATATTATAAACTAGGAACAGTAGGCATATGAGAGATGAGAATTTATTTGATGAATTCAAATATTGTACATAATATTTAATGTACAACAGATTTTTGATTTTTAGAATACAATCTGTTTTTTACTACGGAAGCGTTTTAAGGAAAAATAATTATTTTCAATGACTTATCATACATCACCAATAAACTATAATATGTCCATTTCAATAATCTTTACGACCGTGAGACTCTATAATTGAAAATCCAAGCGATTAAATTGGTACCTCCGGTACCTATCTGGTTATATCGTGTTAACTGTTCAGTATGGCTATTGTGTGTAGCTTTAACTGATATTGCAAATTAGTTTTTATTTGCATATATTTAAGAATTGATTCAAAATTTTCTCGTAAAAACTCAGCTCAATCTGTATATTATCCTAATATTTATTTCATTACTTTAGAAAAAGCAAAGATTTCTGTTTCGTCCTAAAGTTCTTATTAGGGTTCAGCCCATACAGTATGAGATAAATCTAACAAAAACATAAGAAACTAGCATTGCCCGCGGCTCCGCACGTGTTCAGATGACCAAAAACCAAATTCCTAGGTTTTACATATTCACACTCTTACTCTGACAATGCTGTTTTTATATTTTTTCTCAGAAATGAGATATTTTCTCGCGGTAAAAAGTATTCTATATGTTGACCTGGCTAACCTGCTACCACTATACCAAATTTCATCAAAATCCCTCTTGTGGTTTTTCTGTGATGCGGTAACAGACAAACAGACAAAAATTCTAAAAACGATAGATTCGGCCTCTATCGATAATAATGTCTATTTCAATAAGATTTTCCAAAAAATATTTAATGTACAGATTTGGCTTAGTTACAATTTTATTATATGTATAGCTTCAACAGGTATTCATAGATGAAAAAATATATGAGAAAACTTCAAAAACATAGACGTAATAAGTCATTGCTATGGCTTTATGATGACAAGGCACCATCAAACGATCTTGATGAAACCAAAAACCAACGTAACGCGAGATGGCTGAGGTCATTACACTTTTTTGTTTATCTTTCATAGCAATGATATATTATTTACGTGGTACATTCTTCGCATGACGACAAAGAATTTAAGGACTCTGGCTCCATTATCATTAATGCTCTTCACTTGGGTCCTTCGTGTTTATCGTCGAACGTTTTAAGACTAATTTAAATAATTAAGGCAGGTATTATATTCTCGGTTCAGAATTTGTATCACATATTAGTAGGATTGATAATAATATTTATTTATTTTTATTTCTACCTAAAGTTTGCTTTATAAATATTATTTACATATATTGAACTTTTTCTACAACTAAACATTATTAGGACGAACCGATAGTACTAAAAATATCTTAAAATATTAAAATATTGTGTTAAAAGTTGTTTAAAAAGCAAAGTTAATGTAAACCGTCCAATGATAAAGTATTAGTTGAAATATGAACTCTATTTCTGTTATTAAATTACAGCTTTAGACGTCTGCTATCTACGTACATATATTACTCTGAGTTATTTCTTTAGAGCAATAAAATGTTAACAGCTCAGGTAGTTACATCGTTTCATTGAAATTTTAATTATCCATTATTTAATGAAATAATATTTTATTCACAACAATATTCCTTTCTCAAAACTAATTAAAAGAAAAACATTAAATTCATCGGCACTTGCAACTTAATACCTAGCTACATTAATATATAATATTAATCGAAGCGATTGGCCACAAAATGCTTTTAACGCAATTCGATTCGGCTGAACTGGAACTCTTGTGGAACGGAACCAAATAAAAATGGTCTCGTCTGCCATTTCTTTATCGCTTTTACAATACCAGAGCTTATATACGAAGAGGTCAATTACAACTGGTTGGTATAACGAACGCTTACGCCGTCTAAACTCGCCTTGAGAGTATAGGCTCAAATTACTCAGATCACGTTCAAGGTGGCTTTGCGCAAAATCGTGGTCACTTGCTAAAGTTAAAATAAGACGTTGATACAAAATATGACATGTAAATGTTCATTGAAATAAATATTATTTAAGTTAAATGTATTCTTTTAATATTAATAAAAAAAAACATTAAACATAACCACGTATTTAAAAAAAAGTATATTTTTTCTTAATTATAATGGCGTATCTACCTTTGCCTTGTAATCTTTACGTATTTTCATATATTTATAGAGTTGTACCAATCTGGAACTTATACTCGATACAACTCCTCCCATTCTCAGACATTTAATTAAACCGCGATATTTTATGGCATCAATGATTAAAATGTTTTCGATAAACGTTCAGAATATAATAATGTAGCAGAAAGCTTTCAACTTGTAAAGATGTGTTACTTATTTTAACTTTTCTTTGTTGTAGGTACATTCATTCTAAAGAGAAGCCATTTAAATGCACAGAATGTGGAAAAGGATTCTGTCAGTCCAGAACTTTGGCGGTTCACAAGATACTTCATATGGAGGAGTCACCACACAAGTGTCCGGTATGCAGCAGAAGTTTTAATCAACGATCTAATCTGAAGACCCACCTATTAACACATACTGACCATAAACCGTATGAATGCAATTCATGTGGCAAAGTATTCAGAAGAAATTGTGACTTGAGACGTCATGCTCTTACTCATGCTGTTGGAGATGTCCCAACTGGAGACGTTTTAGATGTAGGTGAAGAAGATATAGGAAGGCCAGGATCCCCTATTGAACCAGGATATGATGACGATGATGCAGAACTTTCATCTCCAGAGCATTCACCAGTAAGAAGAGCACGTTCTTCTTCAATTGAAAGTATTGGGAGAGAAAGAAGTGAAGAAAGGCCACGAGCTATTTCTCCCTCTCCAGTTGAACGTACGCATTGCCACCACAATGAACCAAGAGACAGAGCAAGCCCATATACAATGCGTCCGCAGCAACAAGAAAAACATCGAATGGCATCTACAGATTTATATGAAAAACGAAGATATACTACCGATGAAATTATGGAAAAAGAAATGCGTTACACGGACATTCCCGAGCATCAAATAAGACATCCACAACTCCAAATTCGTCGTGATTTACATCAAGTTGTCCCTCCAGACCCTGCTAAAATCAGTCAAATGTCAAGCCCACCTATAGATCCTGGGCCTACTGGAATGTACTTAAGTCCATTTAGAAAAAGAAGTCATCCACCTGATATTGGAGAAAATGTAAGGACTTGCGGAGCTGTGTTCAGGAGCCGGTCACCAGAACCAACAAATTTAACAATGCCTAGACCACCATTGGCCAGTAGTGAAGTCATGGTGGGTATTCCCCCGACAATTATGAGCATACCATCATATCATAAATTTGGTTTACCATTGCCCCCGCCACATCCTCAAATTGCTTATGGACCTATGCCCCATACTGTGTTAGGTCCACAACAAACAGTCGCTCAAGATCTAATAGTTAAGCCCGCTCCGCCTAAAGACACAGTACCAAGTACTTCTACTATCGTCACTTCTTGCAAAGACTCATCACAAGCTACTACAAAAGAAAATCTTGACACAGATTCTAATTTGATTGCAAATGGTATTAAAAATATAGTGGGCATACAACCAAACTCGAATCCCAAACCAGGGACGAGTCAAGCGAGTGCGCCTAAAAAAGGCTTTAGCATAGAAGATATTATGAGACGTTAATCATATTAATGCTAGTAAATAATATCAGTGATAAGTAAGATAAACTTTGTAAATAGATTATTATTTTATTACTAATATAATTAGTGGTAATTTTTTGAAGTATTATTAGTTGAAAGTTTAACATAATGAAGAATTCATAGTGTATGGTTGTACGTAAATGCGTCGATTTGGTTTTCGTAAAGATCTCATATGGTTTGTTTGTGCAGTGTTTTGTTTACGTCCAAATTTTAAGAAACTAGTTTATCAAAATTATAGGCTTTACGTAAGTAATTATTAGATTTATTTTTATGTTTGAGATTCCAGTGTTATTTAATTTGTGTGACACAATAATGAGTAGCGCCTGTTTCTGAATAACAATGAATGTGTTATTTATTATTTAAATAATTTTAAGTATTATAAGAAAGCAATGTTAGTTTAGTTACTTATAAATTAGTTTAAGAACTTATTCTAAAATTGTAAAAAAATCGGATAACTTTTATTTCTTCAGAATTGTAATTTCGAATAAGATACTTAAAAGTAAATGAAAAAATAATATTGTAATATAATCTACATGCATTTAAACAATCTCATCGGATATTGTTTTTAATCTCCGATCAAAAAATAAGCTGATGTCATTTAGATTGTTATTTTTTATGAAATGAACGCATTTAATACATTTAAATATACTTATTATTTGCTCAGATGTTTAAGTTTAATTTTATTAAGTAACATACGAGTTGTACATTATTTTTATATTAATTAATAAATCATGATATAAAAATACTGATTTAATTTTATTTTACTTGTAAATGGTACTACGTGATATGTTTAGAATAAATTTTTTTAGAGCTCTAAAGCAATTTTGAGCACTATTTAAAACTTAATATTATGACTAACCAAAGCAAAAGTAGCAAAAGAAGCTCATATCCACTATTAATGTTACAGAACTTAAAATAAAACATTAATAAAATAAAATTTACAAAACCCAGTTTTTCTTATAATCTATGTACAAAAATTCAAACGATGAGTAATAAAAACAACTACCTAGTTTTTTCAACGTATGTCATAACACATATAAATATTATAATCCATACTAATATTATAAATGTGAAATGTGTTTGTTTATTTGTTTGTCCTTCTTTCACGTCGAAACGGAGTGATGGGTTAGCGTGAATTTTTGTGTGAAGATAGTTAGAGGGCTGAAGAGTAACATGGACTACTTTTTACCGCAGAAGATTATCTCATTACACGTCATTATACAACCCAAAAAAATATTTATGATCAGAATTACTTGAAACTTGCTATTAATGCTTTTCAATATAGTTAATTAAATACGTGTTTTAGCATTTTTCGAAATTCATCCCATAAGGGAGTAAAATAGAGTATGAAAGTTTGTATGAAACCTACCTATCTAGAGTGTTTTTTGTAGTTTTAGCGCGAGCGAAGCCGCGGGTTCTGCTAGTAATATATAAAACGGTTATTAAAAATACCTACTGTTACAATGTATATTGAAATTTAAAATTGCGTCTTAATCCCGATGGCAAATAAATATGTATTAAAATTTGTGCGAAAGGTGTTCCTTTTACAACCGCAGTTTAATGGTCGGCTGTTCTTCGAGCCATTCAAATCGCTACTTGGGATCACATACCTTTGTTTAAATTTTAGTAACAATAAAAATTTTACAGATATTTCTTTCTTATGGGTGAAAACAATATGGGAGTAGCAATAATTTAAATTATGATTTTAATAATAAAAAAGAAATAATTTATTCTAAAATAATATTAATTCATACTAATATTATAAATGTGAAAGTTTGTGAGTATGGATGTTTGTTACTCTTTCACGCCAGAACAGCTGAACGGATCTGGATGAAATTTGACACAGAGATAGATTATAATTTGGAATAACACATATGTTACTTTTTATCCCGTAAAAATGTACGGTTCCCGTGGGATAGCTTTATTTCTGTCTAGTATAGTATATAATATTTATAATACAAATGGATATCTTAAGACAAATGTAGTTTAGAATGTGAAGTATCAGAAAGTAAATTAATGAATACTTAAACAATAACTGCAAAAATATAAGGTATATATATGTAAAAATCATGACACCATCGATGATTTGCCTAACTTATTAGATTTCTGATTGGCATAGCACTTTGTTCTGTAAGAAGGTTTTCATAATCAGTCATAAATTGAGATTGAGGATTGGCCTATCTACATTTTAAACCCTTTAACAGACAAGACATAGCCTAAATCGCTGGGTCTAGAGGGTTACATTTTAAGTAATAAAGTACACAACTTTAAAAATCATTTTAAAAGTATTTTTCCAATCTCTGATCAGGATTTGTCTTGAAAAAAAAGTATATGTAATATATAAGAGTACTCTTGATATACATCAATATTATTCAATTATTTTTAATAAATTCATTATACAAGTAATTTATTAAAGAATGTTAAAATGAATTCACAATTGGCAGATGTATTGACTGACCACAAAAAAGACCTGGTTTGAGTATCTCTTCTTTGTTGTAATCAATCAAAAAATAACATATATAAAATTTCCATGTCACAATGTTAGTTACCGTACTCCTCCGAAACGGCTTTACCGATTTTTACCAAATTTTATATGCGTATTCAGTAGGTCTGAGAATCGGCTACTATCTATTTTCCATACCCCTAAGTGATAAGTATAAGGGTGGTCCTCCCAGACCCCACCCGAGGGACGAACCCGAGCGGAGCGAGGGTGAGTCGCTAGTAACATATATATCTTAGAATGTTAAGCTATGATTTTATATATATTTAAAATTCATTCAAGGACCAGTACCTATTATGGATTTAAGATTCATTTAAGGGATTTTAAAATGATTAATGGAGTGCCAAAAATATATGAGTAAGCCAGCCAGTTCCACGCAATAAGAAACGGTTTGTAACATTTTTTCCCCTTCTCACGAAGTCGGTGCATTATATAACTACGAGATATGATCAAAATCGGTCAGAACTAATACTTAGTACTGTTTCGGCATAGTGACAATGACTTATAAGTTATAACTGAACAATAGTTCTAACATTTTCCTTAACTTCCATTTTTTGCCATTGTTTTTCATTGAATTTACACTGACTTCATACGATGCCCGGATTCGTGCGGTACACAATCGTAAATCTACCACGTGCGTAGAATCTAAAGTAACAAGTTGTTTAACATACAAACTTTAAGTGGGAAAACCGTATAGGTAATCTAAACCACTATATGGAACGTGATGGGAAAGATTTTGTTATATCTTATGCTATGACAAACCATGAATAAGCCAAACCGTCTACACTTAATACTAAACTGTTTTATTTAGACACTAGCGACTCACCCTCGCTTTACTCGGGTTCGTCCCTTCACCCTAGATACGTTTTAACGGTTAGTATGAAATACAAATCTTTGAATTTCTCGGCTTTTCTGTACTATAATATGCATGTATTATACATATAAATCTTCCTCTTGAACCACTCTATTGCTTAAAACTGCATTAAAATCTGTTGAATAGTTTTAAAGATCTAAGCAAACAGACAGTGGAAGCGACTTCATTTTATACTAGGTAAAGATTGCATTTAAAATTTAAATAAGCTTTATCCTAAGTAATGTAATTTATACATAATATAACAAGTCTACTTAAGTATGGTGGTTCATTATACTAAAGCCTTGATAATTATCTATAGATAACGTAATTTTTCCGTCGTTAATACCATCATGTAGCCCATTGGTAATGCGATCGACTTGAAATGTAAGTAAAGCAGGTTCAAACCCAGGTGTTACATCTTTAAATTTTTTACAAGTGAATCAATTTTATCAAGAACTACTTGCTAATAAAAAGCATTGAAGGAAGGTATCATGAAGAGAGCTACTGCCTGACAGATTTTTTTAATTGACATATGAAATCCACCAAACCACATGTGGCCAGCGTGGTGGACTATGGCCAATTTCCTTTACTTTTGACGTAGATTTGTGCCCAGCAGTGGGACGTTAAAAGGTGCTAAATTATTATTCTAACGATAGATCAAATTGATGATGATGATGTTCTCCTGACCGATTCCGGCCACGGCGGCCAATCTCATTGAGACTAGCCAACTGCGCAGGAGATATTATAGTGTTCAAGTGTACGCGCAGATACATTTGCACTCTCTATTCCTATCACTCTCATACTCCGGTGGGACGACTGTTCGACACGACCGGTGAGAGTTAAGGCGCAGGACCGACGGCTTTACGTGCTCAGATCAAATTATGCGTAAGTTATGTCTACAAGTAATATAACTATTTGAATTTAGGTGGAATTATGTTCTTTTTAACGAATATTAACATATGTTGTGTAGGTTTTAATACCCAAGGGTTTAGATCGTAATCATGTAAAATCTAACCCTACGCAGTCTTTCCGTTCATGTACCCTCTTTCTCTTTAAAAGAAAAGCTTGAACAAATTGAAGCTCGCATTATTGTATGTATGTGTGTATGTATGTATTCAGCCATTTTTAACGTCCCACTGTTGGGCACGGACCTCCCTTTACTAAAAGGAGGATCTGGCCATAGTCCACGACGCTGAACAAGTTTGGGTTTGCGGATTTCAGATGTTTATCGACAACTTGCTAGGTTCTCTCAGACAAGCAGGTTTCTTCACGAAGTTTCCCTTCACTATAAGACAAGTGGTAATCATCTAGTATACATATAATAAAATTGTAACTAAGCCGAATCGGTACATAAAATATTTTTTGGAAAATCTTATTGAAATAGATATTATTATCGATACAGAGGCAGAATCTATAGTTTTTAGAATTTTTGTCTGTCTGTCTTTCTGTCTGTTACCGCGTCATAGAAAAACCACTGGAGGGATTTTGATGAAATTTGGTATTTTATAGCAGGTAATTAATAAATACAAATTCTATCATGTTTTACAGGAAAGTTGAAAAAATACATAAGTATATATGTATATAACTATATGTAGTTATTTATTGACAATGCATGTTTATAGTACTT